TTAGACTGATGAGTTGCAGTAACATTTGCATATAAAGAAGGCTCCGCCGGCTCGTTGAATGTGGGATTAAAGGAGAACTATGAGATGAGTGCTTTTCAATGGACTGTCACAGGTTGGCTCAGTAGATCGGGAAGTGAGCGAACACATACCGGTGTTCGCTCATCTCTCGATCCTGTCACGGCTTTCTGCGGTATACTGAGCCTAGGGTGACGGGAGGACGCTAGTTTGTGTCCTCCCGTTACCCTAAGGAGAACTATGGGGAAAAGACAACCCCATAGTTCTCCTTTTAAATCGGTAAACGTTTACTAGAGAACATTTGTTAACTTTTTTTTTTTTTTTTTTTCTTTTTTCTTTTTTTAAACCGTGGTTTCCAGATGTTTATCTCTTGTGGCATGTGAGCTTTGTCACCTGTCATATGATCATGACGACAGCTCAAGGTATGCTGACGTGTTTTTCATTTTTTCTTGACATGATCTTAGACCTGCCATAAACCTGGCGTGTGTACCTGTGAAGAATCTGCGATTAGCTTTGTCCCTCCCATTTTATGGGATTGTAAAAATCAAGAATCAAAGATTAATAGCTATGGACATGCTGAAAATGGGCGAGCAGAAAAAAAATTGCCGTCTGGAGACGGCAACCCGCAGATGTGGCAGTGCCGTCCGTCCGTTTTTTTACTACGGGCGGACGGCAAGAGGTTAAACAAGCTAGCTCCACATCCCATGCACTCAGGTTTTTGTGATTTGACACATTTTGGTCACGTTGTTCATGACTTTTGCATAATAGGCCATCCAAAGGTGAGATTGCACATTCTGGTGCCATCCCCAGGTAAGCAACACCCAGCCATCCACATGATGTAAAAGAAAAACTGATACCTCAGAATAGGCCAACTTCTTTCATTGCTCCGTGGTCCAGTTCTGGTGCTCACGTGTCCATAGTACGTAGTTTTGGAGGTTGACACGGGTCAGCTTGGGCACCCTGACCGGTCTGCGGCTACGTAGCTCCATACCCAACAAACTGCACTGCATTGTGTTCAGACACCTTTCTATAGGAAACCAGTGTTTTCAGTAACTTGAGCAACAGTATTTTATTTAATGCGACTACCCGGCCAGCCTTCACTCCACACATGCACCAATGAGCCTTGGCCATCCATGACCCTGCCACCGGTTTTCCTTCCTTGGACTACTTTTCTGGTCCTCACCACTGCAGACCGGGAACATCCTGCAGAAGCTGCAGTTTAGGAGTTGCTTTGACCCAGTCATCTAGCCATCACAATTTGGCCCTTGTCGAAGTCACTCAAAATCCTTATGCTTGCCCAATTTTTTTTTTTCTGCTTCCAACACATCAACTTCAGGGACAAAATGTTCACTTGGTGCCTAATATATCCCAGCCACTTCCAGGTGCCATTGTAACGAGATAATCAATGTTATGTACGTCGCCTCTCAGTGGTCATAATGTTATGGCAAGTGTATATATTGTATTAACTAGTCTTCTCTCCAGGTAGCAGGTGGAGCTCTAGTCTTTTAACAAATGTTGGCATTGCATTCACGCAGAAAGAGCCCAATGTTTAAAGGAGAACTATGAGTGGAGTGAAAATAACTCATAGTTGGAGCCGTCGTGTGATAATGAAACTGTCACACGTCGGCTCAATAGATCGGGAAGTGGGCGAACACATACCGTCGCTCGCTCACTTCTCGATCATGTCCCTGCAGAGAGCCGCGACTGTCACTCACGGCTCCCTGCAGGGATTCCCCCCTCCCCTGTCCGATCCTCCAGCGCTGACTGGCTGAACGGACGGGGGAGGGGGTGGGTACAGCTGGCTCTGCCTCTAGATAGACAGAGCCAGCTGTCAATCACGCAGCTGCGTGGATCTCGACAGTAATGTCGTGATCCGTCCTGGCTGTGGTGGTCTCGGTATACCGCGAGCTGTAGCTCGCGGTATACTGAGCTTTGGGTCACGGGAGGATGCTAGTTTGTCCTCCCGTGACCCTTAGGAGAACTATGGGGAAATACACTGACCCCATAGTTCTCCTTCTTTTTTTTTTTTTTTTAATGAGACGTCAGAGCAGTGAGTCATCCCTGATTATGTATTTGAATCTAAGGTTCTACCCAGACAGTTGGAGCAAGCTGCTCTGCAGTCTCATTAGCTGACCTGTAGTGCTTGGGGGAATCCTTTTTTTTGTTCATGTGTTTAAATGTTTATTTGTCAAACAAAGATTCTAGGAATAATCTAAAACCATTACTTTACTACTAAAAAAAATACTTTAAAAAAAAAAATATAGTTTGACCCCCAAACCATTCCTCCTTTAAAAGAATATTCAGTCAATAATAACAAATAATTGGGGGGCTCTTGTCTGACTTTACACCAAGGCTTGCGTTTCTCTTGCAGTCTAGTACAAACTGCTACTGTTTTAACAGTATTGTGTTTACATTGTTTGCTAGGTTAATATTTAACTGTTTGCTCATTGCTTAATAGGGTCAACTGTTTACAGCAGTTGATTGCTTTTAAATATTAGCATCCGTCTCCAAAGAAAACTTGTATACAAAGTTGTCCTTCTATAGCCGCTCTGCCATTCTCTGTCAGTTACAGTCCTGGGTATGTTCATTTTATGGAAGAATACGAAGCAATGCTTTATTTGCTATTTTCCCCATTGCCATTAATTGGGCTTTAGAGCTAGGCTTACTGTTTTTAGCAGGGGGTTTAGGGGGAGCCCTAAGGGGTGTTTTAATACCCCAATATTTGTGTTTACCAGATACACTTTCTCTTTATGTAGACCTCTTTTAAACACGGGGGTTAAATCTTGAATATTAAAATGTATCTTATTTGTGTATCACTCGGCTGTAAAGCCTCAAATCATCTCTGAATCGGTGCTGACACTGTCAGCTCACTCCCGTGATGGATTACAATCTCCATACAAATTAGTAAACTAAACATGAGATTGTAGTCCATCACAGGAGGGAGCTTGGAGCGGTGGCTACTTTACAACACACACAGGGACCATTGGGAACAAAAGTAGCCCCACCCAGAAGGAAGGACAGTGTCAGCACCAATTCAGAGATTTGAAGATTTACAGCTGAGTGATCCACAAATAAGATACATTTGTGCTAATATTTAGGGTACTTGACTGTATTTTTAAGATTTAACTTCTGAGTTTAGTGTCACTGTAATGTCCTAGCCATTGAGCCCTGTGTTTGAAGTATAGAACACCCAGGTGTGTTTTGTGCAGTCGGAGGGTGAGGTTTCTGGAGGAAGTATTGAGTCAGTGGACAAAAGACCATATTTTCTAGTGTTTGCCCATTTTGCAGCCAAGTACTTCATGGAAGTTTCAGTATAAGACTGACGTCTTACCTCCTACATTGTTGCAGAATCTATGGGTTTCTGGAACCAAAGATCTGTGAAAGAATGGAAAAAAAATGTTCACTATAAGACCTGACACGTTGTGTTTCTGAATCTAAGGCCGTTCACCAAAAATCGAGTTTCTCTTCCCTCTACACCGGATACGGAAAAATACACAAAATAATGTCCTTCCGCTACTCTCTAATGACGGCCTTGGGACTTCCTCATACCTAGAAACCTGCTCTATAACTAATAGGTTTCTGAAAAGACACATAAACAAACAAAATGAATTTTTTCCACCTAAGGCCTCATGCACATGGGCAAATGCAGCTCTATTTCAGATTTTGGCATTCAAATCCATATTTTAGAGCGGTATTCAGGAGAATAAAAATAAAATGCCCCAAACTTATATTCAGAGACGAGCTTACTTGCATAATTTGCAGGCATACTTGTGTATGTGCATTTTGTGTATATTTACTTTTTTTCCATCCCATACCATTCTCAGCCCCCTTAGCTTTCAGTCAACCATGGACATGTCTTTTGATGATCCTAGAATCGGACATGTGCATTCTCTCTATGGATGATACCGCCAATGCTGTTCTATGGTAGAACAGTTGCAAACTTATTGTAAGAACTTTGTGTTATTTTATGTGTTGCTAAACTCCCATGATCCTGGTATCAACCACACATGTTTACCGGCTTCATCTTTTATTTTTGCCATTTCTGTTTGAAGAAATGCTCCATCATCCTGTTTTGTTCTGCCCTAACCCCCATTCACTGCTGAATAAGGACTATGTGCATGCAGACACTGTTATTTTATGTTTGACTAGGAGTTGTTCTTTACATTTTAGTAGTTGGTGTAGGGTAAGGTATAATAATTATTGCTGTGGGTAGCAGTAGTGTATGGTGTCCTTGTAATGACTACAGTGGCAATGGCTACTCCTGCTCCCTGATGGGACAGCAATCTTAGTTAGTCCAAGGGTAGGAGCAGGAGGTTTACCTATACCTTTTTAGTAGGGTTGCACAGATACCAAGTACAGTACTCGGTACAAGTACTTTTGAGCTCCAAGACTACACTAGAGAAAAATTCAAAAATTAGGAGGCAGCTGTCATTTGTAAGGTGCACACAGAGCTCCTGGGATTTGTACATCTCTGTTTTAATGTACGATTTTGTTTTTATAAATAAAGGGATGCACAGATACTAGTTTTGCGAGTACTGGTACTTGCCGAGTACTTACAAGTACGAGTACTGATACATTTTTGTTTATTGTCATGTGACAGTTTTTCTAAAACAATACTGACTAATGATTTCAGGACAGTGGTGGAGTGCCAGAGCCAGGTCCCAGCTGCAACCTCTGCAACCCTGGTAGTTCTCATGAAAATGCCAAGTATCTGCACTGGTACTCGAAAAGTATCTGTGCAACCCTACTTTTTAGAGTAGATGGACCATTCACTGACCCCACCTATCGTGGGACCAGCTGGCCTCCATTGTCGGTTTCAGTGCTAACGGACTGCTAAGTAGACAGAACTTTTTTTCTACAAGGGCTTTGGGTCAAACTAAAATTGTTTCAATTTATCTCGAGGATTGCAGGACTAAAAAAAAATGCCATTGTTTTGGATTGGGTTTTTCTTTTTGTTCTTACAATTGTATTTTGTTCCTTCTCAGGATACATTGCACCAGCACAAACTACGTACCCCAGCACTTACACTATCATCCAACAGCCAGCGGCAACAACCTCTGTGGTGGTGGTTGGAGGGTGTCCGGCATGCAGGTGATTCTATTGGAAAAAAATGTTTAACGGTATATAATGTGATGGGTGCTAAATGGTACTGAACCACATGCAGCAATGAGCAGTGATGTGTTGACTCATGTCAGCCAATCACAGGTTGAATATGTTTTTTTTTTTGGCTAACAAGGAATAGAACAAAGTACAATAGCCATAGAATTTGCAATTCTATTTTTAGTCAATTAAGCACTAATTTTTCTCTTCTTGGTGCACATAATCGTCCTCTCTGCTTTTATAGAATGAATCCTGTCAGTATCTGAACGTGGGTACAATACATAAATGTGCTGAATGCTAATAGACCTGAACACAATCTGAAATATTAGTGGCTGTGCCTTGTGTTAGTGTGTGGACTGCTCCAATACTGGAAAAGTGGGCCCATACCCATACGAGTCATTACACGCAACCTGGCTTCCTAAATGGGACTTCCGTTACTCGGTAATTGGTATCGGCGAGTACCGACATTTTTTTTATCTGTACTCGGTACCAAAATACCGGTATCGGTGCATCCCTATTAGTGATCGATGTGTACGTCCATCAAAATCAGGGGTGTCCATTTAGGTAGATCATGATCTACCAGTAGCTCTCAAAGCTGATGCTGGTAGGTCACGAAGGGTGTGATGGCGGCCCCTTTATTCATTTTGGTATATTTATTTAGCTGTGCACACATGATTACCTTTTAGCCTGAGCCTGCTGAGCCAAGCTCCCTGACACCTTTCTGGTGTATAGTGGTGGTTGAAGTGCTATGTATTACATCAAAGAATATTCGTTTACACAGCCTGTTGCCCTGCACTGTTTGCAAGGTCAGCCAGGAGAGAGAGCGGGGAGAGACGGCCAGGAGGAGGATGAGCAAGCCAGGAAAGACAGAGCGCGAGGGAGGTTTTTTTTTCGTTGGTAGATCTCATGTAGCTCGTCATTTGAAAAGTAGATCTTAACACAAAAAATTGTGTGCATTCCTGCTCTAAATCTAGTACATCTTACACTACCTTCTTCAGAGTGACGGTGCTGCTGTCCAAGGATCCTCCATAGATACAGTGGAGGAGCGAGTGTAGATTCCCTAAGATAGGAAGTCTGTTACTGGCCGGAACACCAGGTGGAAATGAAGTGTAAAAAAAAAAAAAATGCAGCCAACATATCTAAGTAAGCTGAACTATATAACATTTGGAGTTTACATTTGCTTAAAAACATAATTCCTCTTAAAAAAAACCAAAAAACATTTTTACATTTAATTTGTTTCTCACATCAAGCATTTTCTGAGCTTCTTGTCATGTGAAGAATGTATCTGTGCAGCAGTCACGTCTTCTAACAGATGATGCTGTAAAATGTATCTGTGGTCACATGACATGATGTAATATAGGAGAGGAGGAAGAGGTCATGTTCCTTTTTTTTTTTCCCCCCCATCATGTGACTAGTCTATCATGTCAGGCTGCTGAGGCTAAACAGTAACCAACTATTGTCTCTCAGAAAGCAAAACTAGGGTCATGTGATCACTTGGAAATTACTTCCTTAATGTTAATTTTTACAGTGTTCCCGGCACTGACCATGTTTAGGCCCTCTTAATTATGTTTTTCTAGTATTTATAGGACTTTCCACAAGTGCAATTTTTTTTTTATACATTTTACCCTTTCCTGCCAGAGCCATTTGTTGCAATATTTATTTATTTTTTGCACACATGTTGAAATGCACATTTTAGGCCTAAACATTAATTAACCCTCAAGAATTATATATTTTCTGATAGCGGAGACCCTGCAGAAGAAAATAGTGGCAATTGCAATGTCCACGATATTTGTGCAACTGTTTTATCAAACCCACATTTTTAGTAAAAAATGCATTGAAATTAATTTTAGTGCCCACATTTTAAAAACCATATCATACCCAATGTTTTTGGTAAAATGTAAAAGATGTAAGTAAATACAAAACCTGTACTACCTCCAGAAAAAAAACACGTGACTACCCGGAAACAGTTGTATAAATACCTTTAACGAGAACTATGGGGTCAGGGCTTTTCCCCATAGTTCTCCTAAGGGTAACGGGAGGACACAAACTAGCGTTCTCCCGTCACCCCAAGCTCAGTATAGCTCGCGGTATACTGAGACGCCGCAGCTGGGACAGATCCGGACATTGCTGTCAAGATCCACCCAGCTGCGGGATTGACAGCTGGCTCTGCCTATCCAGAGGCAGAGCCAGCTGTGCCCGCCACCTCCCCCGTCCGTTCTGCCAGTCAGCGCTGGAGAATCGGACAGGGGAGGGGGAATCCCTGCAGGGAGCAGTGAGTGACTGTCACGCTCTCTGGAGGGATAGATCGAGAAGTGAGCGAGCGACGGTATGTGTTCGGTTACTTCCCGATCTACTGAGCCGACCTGTGACCGTTTCATTGTCGCATGTCGGCTCAGATTATGAGGCTGAGTGAAAATCACTCGCCTCATAATTCTCCTTTTTAAAGTATATAAAGACAATTTCCCTAAATACAGCGCTAAAAACATCAGAACCTTAAATTGTTGTTATAATAATAACCCCTGAAAATGGCTCACCACCCAGGTGCATGTGAACAATAAGTAGTGTGAAATAAAAGCTGTGAACAAAATCCACATTCACAGCACATCTAGATCGAAAAACATGTGAAAACTTTTTTTGTATAAAGGCTGTGACACACTGCAAGCGAAGCAGAGCATGCCGAAATGAAACATTTCAGCTTCAGCCAATCGGCTCGCGCATATAAACCCGCGCGTCAGGCTGCGGCTTCTGGCTGGTTTTTACACACAAGCTGATTACCTGAAGGTGCGGTCAATCATCTGGCTGCACTCAGCTCACACACTGCACGCAAAGCTGCGTGCCAGACAGCTTTGCTTCGCTCTGCACGGCTTTGCGTGCAGTGTGTCACGGGCTTAATAGAAGGTAGTCCCATATAAAAATGTCCCTATATCGTGAATCGTTCCACTTCAAAATGTAAATGATCTTGTGAACTTCCACCAAAATAAACTCCTCCGTGAGATGAAACTCCTGACCCTTATGGACCGCCACTCACCAAATGATATGTGACTTCTTAGTTAATTGGGGTCTTGTGCGAGTCAGAACCCCGGTTGTGTGCACACCGTTCCTGATGACGACGCTGTTGACGAAACGGGTTGGATGGGTCTGAACACTGTCGTGCATAGACTAGTGGAGTTTGTATTTATTTTGATTTTGCATTTATTTTTGTATTCTGAAAATATAAATGATGACGTTTTATCACATACATGGATGCCAAACATATCGAGCCTTAAAACTGTGAATGCAATGAGACGGCAACAAACTTTGTCACCCAAATTTGTCTATAGGCAATGCGGTAAAACCCTTTTAGCATCAAAGTGACATTAAAGGCAAATTTCCCCCCTCCCCCAATGCTGGTGTGTGGACTTACCTTTAAATGATGCCTCTTGATCTGATCACCTTCTTCTTTCCAGTAGCTTTCAGGAGTCCCTCCAGCGCTGGTGCCAGTCTCCGATCCAGCGCTGATTCCTCTCTCTTCCTGTCCCACGCAGTCTGTGGAGGTGCAGGCTGCCTCCATTGACCTACCCTGTGTCTCTCCTTCTCCTGGCCGAAGATCTGAACTGCACATGCGCCCGCCCCATGATCCTTTGCGGCCGCCCGAGAATCTTCAGATCTTCGGACGGGAGTGCGCGGCGGAGACGGAGGTAAGTTTTTTTTTTTTTTAACCCTTTTTGTGAACTTTTTTTTTTTTTTTTTAATGTTTCTGCATGTATCTACTGCTTGCTAGCATAGTATATATGCAAAAATACGCAAGGGTTTAACAATCCTTTTAACTATGAATAATGGTCCCAATGTGCACAGTGATATGCCAGTGGCAGAGAAAGGGATAGAGCAAATTGTCCTTTGTTGTGTGTGCGTTTTTATTTATTTTTGTAGTGTTAAAAATGCTATTGCCAGGCTGCTGCCAAACTTCCCAGCCCCATCTAACTAATCGCTCCAAGAGCAAAAAAAACAACCAAACAACCAAACAATCTACGTCAATGGCCATTTTACTCGCCTAAATCCACAGTTGCATGATCCCCTGATCTAAGTCCTCTCTCTTTTTCTGTGTACAGGAGGTAAAGTGCTTCCTCAGTTGCCCACATCACTGCCTGCATGGTGGGACACTTCATATTGTATGTCCATTGGTGGGGATGACATCAGCAAACGGGGACCTGGCGGCACTAGCACATTACTGCCCCCCCCCGCCCCTGAAAAATGGCACCGGCAAGGGACATGGATGGTAGAATTAAGGGAGTATATGAGTCAAAGGGTAAAAAAACAATGGTGGGGGGTATTTCTTTTTACCCAGAGATGGGCATTAAACATTTGCGATTACCCTTTTGTTCTTCAATCATTTAGGGGAATTACTGTGGGAGGTGGATAAGCTTGAGGAGAGGACTGCATATGTGCGGTTTTTAAAATATCCTCAGGCCCAGCACTGTAGTGTGTCCAGGCCCAATTTAGGACAATGCAGTTGCACTTGTCCGCACTTGTCCAAGCAATCTGCCAGTGCTTCAGGTATCTGCTCAATGCTGGTAAAGGCTTTCAGTGTGAACAGGCTGCCGTTGTGCTTCTGAGAACGTTGGCTTGGTGCTCTGGAATTTACTCAGTATGCACAATGAACTTCTGATTTCCTTTGGCAAGAACACTTGCCCAAAACTCTGCTGAAGTATTTTACACTCGTGGAAGAGGAAGTAAATGTGCAGCTGATATTTCAGGAACCGTGTACGTGACCATTTAATATGCACTATGCTTCAGTTATGACGCAGATTAACATGCAGCTTCAGTTGTGACAGTCTGTGATTGCAAGGCAGTCAGAAAATAATGCTGATATGCTGGGTGCAGTATTTCCCAGCAATCAACCAAATTCATTTTCTGCTACATGAGGGATGACCGAAGATTCCTAATTGGTCTATGTAAATGGCTGCATCTGCCTCTCTCTGAGTTTTTACACATACTGTGTATTTATAGTTCCA